TCTTGCTCAATTATTTTAAGTATTTCACTTTTTTAGTTGCTTTTTTAAATGGAATTTTCTGTTCCATTTATACCTTCTGTTTATTGTTTGGTATAAACGTCATGTGCAAAAGCAATAGTTTTTATGTATCCGACTTTATTAACTTTTTTTTGGCAGTAGTTTTATCATTGATTCTCTTGGGTTTTCTAGGTATACTTTCACATCAGCTGCACATAGAGATAACTTTATTCTTTTCTATTCTGAAGTTTCTAATTGCATTGGCTAATACTTCCAGTGCAGTGTTAGAAGTGGTGGGGGAAATGGGCTTCCCTGACTTGTTTGTGACCTTACTGGGAATGCCCGCAGTGTTTCCTCATTAAGTAAGATGCAGTTTTTGTTTTATGTTAATGTCTTAGTCTGTTTGGGCTGCTGTAACAAAATACCACAGACAGGGTGGCTTATAGACAGCAGAAGTGCATTTCTCACGGTTCTGGAGGCTGGATGTCCAAGGTCAGGGTGCCAGCGTGGTCCAAGTTCTGTTGAAGGCCCTCTTCTACAGTCGTTGCAGACGACTGTCTTTTCGTTGTGTCCTCACATGGTAGAAGGGGTGAGAGCGCTTTCTTGGGCCTCTTTTGTAAGGACACTGATCTTGGTCATGGGGGCTGCACCCTCATGACCTGGTCACCTCCCAGAGGCGCCCCTCCTGACGCCGTCACACTGGGGGTTGGGATTCAACAGAATGGCAGAGGGGATGCAAGCACTCAGCCTATAACAGTGAGTGCATGTATTTCATCAAACTAAAGAAGTACATAGGAGTTCCCATTGTGTTGACTTAAGAAAATCAGGGATGGGTATTGAATTTTCCTGAAGGCTTTTTCATCATTTGTGGATGATGAGAATCATATGATCTTCCTGTTAGATCTATTAATATGGTGAATGTATATTAGTAGGTCTTGTAATGTGGAGTCATCCTTGCATTCCTGGAATGAATTTCATTTGGTCATGTGTGCTATTAAGGTAGTGTTGGTTTCTGTTTGCTAATATTTTATTTAGGAGTTTTGCACTTGATATAAGTAAGATTGGTCTTTGGTTTTCTTTTTTGTGCTATCTCTACTAGGTTTAGGCATCATTTTTTTTTTTATTTATTTTTGGCTGCTTTGGGTCTTCGTTGCTGCACAGGCTTTCTCTAGTTGTGGCGAGCGGGGGCCACTCTTCATTGCGGTGCGCGGGCTTCTCAGTGCAGTGGCTTCTCTTGTTGCGGAGCACGGGCTCTAGGTGCGCGGGCTTCAGTAGTTGCGACACGCAGGCTCAGTAGTTGTGGCGCATGGGCGTAGTTGCTCCGCAGCATGTGGGATCTTCCCGGACCAGGGCTCAAACCCGTGTCCCCTGCATTGGCAGGCGGATTCTTAACAACTGCGCCACCAGGGAAGCCCCTAGGCATCATTTTTATACCTACTTCTAAAAAAGAAAGAATTAGAAAATTGTTTATCTGTTTCCATCTTCTGGAACAATTTATGTATTGATAGTAGTCTTGATGTTTAAGGTTTGGTACAATTCCCCTGTAAAACCATCTGGGTCTGGTACTTTTTTTGTGAGGACAATTCTTTGATAACTTTCTTTGCTTTCTCTGTGTAAGCTTTCTGTAATTTGGTAAATAGAGTTTGGTAAATTATATTCTTTTCTACGAAATTGTCTGTTTCACTTAGTTTCAAATGTATTTGCATAGAGTTGTACAGAATAGTCTTTCATGACTTTTCTTAAGGCGGAGGTAGATATTTAAGGACTTGCTAGTTTTAGAAGACAGAAGTCATGGGTCATGTCCACTTGCTGTGTTTGTGGATCCCAAGGCTTAAAGTAAAGTTCTAATAAGATGAGCATATGCTATAATAATGGTAATAGCTACCATTTGTGAAATGCTTGCCTCTGTATGGATATCAGCTCATTTTAGCCTCATTACAATCCTGAGATACCTAATAATCATCTCATTTTAAGGATGACATAATTTGGGGGAGTTACCCACTCTTCCAAAATAGAAATAGACTCACAGACAGAGAAAACAAACTTATGGTTACCAAAGGGGAAAGGGAGGGGGGAGGGGTAAATTAGTAGTTTGGGGATTAAAATGTATACACTACTATATATAAAATAGATAACCAACAAGGACATACTGTATAGCACAGGGAACTATATATAATCTACATTTCCATAAAAAGTTTTAAAAAATGGCATAGCCACTCACCAGGCCAGCGTTATCTCAACGTAATCCATGGAGTGATTCTCATGAAATAGTCAAAGCAGGGCCTTTGGAGTCAGAACTGCGTTCAGATTCGTTCCGTTCCGTTCCAGCCGTGTGGCTGTGAGCAAGCATATTATTACCTGGAGAGGCTCAGCCACTTATTTGCTTAGCAACCTTAGGCAACCTCTCCGAGCCTCAGTTTCTTCGCCTGTAAAATGGGGATAAGACCAGCTTCTACCTCCTGGGGTTGTTGGGAACACACACGAAGTCATACGTGTAAAGGGACTAGAAGTGTCCCATGCCTGTGATTGCCATGTAAACATTTGCTTAAAGACAAGCAAACAGACGGGCCGTGGCTTCTAATTCCCCTGTGTAGGGGGCCGATCACGTCTTTGCAGCATTATTGTGAGAATTAAATAAAGTGTCATGTGTAGATGCCTAGGACAATGCCTTTGACACAGCAGATTCTCAGAAAATATTAATTCTCTTACTTTATTAATTTGCTCATCAAAAATCCTTGCATGCTTTCTAGTGGCTCATCCTGCTAGGCTGCTGTAAGGTGCTCGGAGACAAGCAAAGCATAAAGCCTACTCTTAACCAGCTGACTAGCTATATTGAGAAAAGAAAAAAAAAAAACACCTTAAGGTCACTCAGTACCCGGTTATCAGTACAGCTGGTAAGAGACAAAAGAATTCAGTAACTTGGGAGGATTTTTTTTGGGAGGAGCTTGTGGAGGATGTTGAATTGGAGAAGGCTAGGAGAGAGGAGATGTAAGTTTAGGTGTTTGAAGGGCCTGTTGAGGGTAAAATGTGGTTTGTTTAGTCCATGCAGGTCCTGGAAAGGAGGAACTTTTTTAACAACTGCATCTCTCTGATTTGGGGATGTTTTGCTTTCTGAGGTGCAAAGAGCTTTGTTTGACAAGCTTTTGGGTGCAGTTTCAGGTGAAAAGAAAACCACACAGTAGCTTAATAAACAATGAAGTGAAACATCATTAGAAGGATGCAGATACCTCAGGGAATTCAGTGCAGTCCAGGTTCACAGGTAACTGAGAAAAGTCCAGGAAGGTCTCAGGAATCCATCCAGTGCCGTCTGTGCGGCGCTTCCTCTCTCTCGCCTCTGAGTATCTGTGTGTGCTCCTGAGGGTGTTAACTTCGTTCTTTCTTCCTCTATTAATGACTTTCCCCTGCTGGCACATACATGCCGAAACGCGGCAGCTCCGTAGCTCCTGAGTTTACTCGTCTTCAGTTCAAGAGATCGTAACTGACTAAGAGTTCCTGTCCCGGGCAGTGTATAGGAAGGAGACTCTGATGGACCAGTTTGGGTTAAGGTGGTTCACTTATGACCTGGGAGCAGGAGGTGGCCTGCAGGGCCCGGTGGTGTAGCTGTAGCTGCCGAGGGTCCAGCTTGTAGCTGAGGGCGCTGCTCTCTGAGGAGCGTGGGCCGGGCGAGAAGCCGACTGTGGTTACGATAAACTCCCAGCCCCGAGGGGTCTGCGTAAAATCCCCGATGGGAGCTCTGTAAGGGAAGCTCAGGTTGAAGATGAGCTAGGACAGATGCATGCAGTCTTCGGTCCTCTTCAGATATTTTGATGCTGCTAGGTGAAACCCAGGTGAAATCCTGCAGGATAAATATGATTTGGCTACATGCAAGAGAAGCATTTTTGATGAGTATACGAATGGGGATGGAGAATGGGTTCTGGAAGTTTAACATAGACCTATAAGCATTTGTAACGTTTTTGCTTATAGCTTTCAGCAGCCCTTCATTTCTGGACAAGGTTGATTTTGTTTTTATGGTGGTAAAATATACATAGCATAAAATTTACCATTTTAAACCTTTTTGGGTATACAATTCAGTGTCATTAAGTACATTCACATCACCACCATCCGTCACCAGAACTTTTATCGTCCCCAACTGCAACTCTGTCCCTGGCAAACGCTCACTCCCCGTTCCCCGCCCTGCCCCAGCACCTGGCACCTACCGTTCTACTTCCCCTATGAGTTTGGTGACTCTAGGGACCTCACAGAAGTGGAAGCACACAGGATTTGTCCTTCTGTGTCGGGCTTATTTCACTCAGCAGAATGCCCTCAAGCTTCATCCATGGTGTGGCACGTGTCAGGATTTTCTTCCTTTTTGAGACTGAATAATATATCACTGTATGGATGGACCACATTTTATTTATCCATTCACCATCAGTGGACATTTGGGTTGTTTCCACATTTTGTTATTACGAATAACACTAGCAGCCCATCATTTTTAACATATAGATGAGATTGTTTTCCACTTAGAATCATTGGGAAATTGTTCTCCTAATGAAAAAGACCTTAAAGGCTAACTTAATCCAGCCCCTTCATTTCATAGAGGGGAAATGAGGAGATTGCCCAATTAGGAAAAGTGCACAGCCTCGAACACATCTCGCCTACTCTGAACTCATTTGCAATTTCTCTGCCCACTTGTCTAAAATTATGAGAGCTTTGGTAGCTATAAAAGGGTGGCCTCAGTTAGGATCTTGTATTCTGGAGTGTGTTGTAGACTTGTGGAATTGTAAATTTGGGAAGAATTCCATAGACCAGTGGTTCTTGAACTTTTTTTTGCTTAGGACTTTTTGGCCTCAAAATATATATTGAGGACCCCAAGAGCTTTTATTTATGTGGTTATATCTGTAGATGGTTATTATATTAGAATTTAAACCTGACAGATTTTTAAGGTATTTATTAATATATTTATGAGAAGTAACTGCATTACGAGATAATTTGTGAAAGAGTGGCATTGTTTATATTTCTACAAGTATCTTCAGTATCCGGCTTAACAGAAGAAGCTGGCTTCTCATATCTATTTCTGCATTCTGATTGTGATGAACCGCTGTTTTGGTGGAAGTACATAAAGACGATCTGGCCTCACAAAGCTATGTACTTGGAAAAGAGAAGAGTATTTTAGTGCCTTTTCAGAAAATGGTGAATATTCTTTGATACTACACCGAAACTCAACACGTGGTAGTTTCTTAAGGTTAGTTGCAACGTGGAATCTGGCGCTGTATCAAAGAACACTTCATTTTCTGTCACATGAAGATATTTCAGCTTATTTTACACATTAGATGGACCTTTACCCACGTGGGCTTTTATGACATCATGGTTTCCTGAGTTGTGTAGAGCTTCCAAACGTCAACACACTGCTTTATGCCCCAGGAGATCAGGTACCTCAGTGTCGTTCCTGATCTCATTGGAAAAGTCTCTGTTGAGAAGCTGTCATGTTCCTAGTGGTGGATACATGTGTTCAAAATTCTCTTTTCCCGCGGAAGCTCAAATTGTGTCATTGGCAACAAATGCTGTCATTGTTTACCTGGACGTGATAAGCTTACTTTGTTCATTTTTGAGAAAATGTCGCTCACATACTCAACTCTGAATAATCGCGGTTTGTCTATCATTTCTTCTTTGGTGCTGCATGAAAACAGTGGCTTAGTGTAACTCACAGCTCAGAAGGTTGTACACGTGCTTCTTCTCTAGACGACCGTGGTACTTGAGTCCGCAAGAGAAGTGTTTCATGCGTACTTCCCACCTCACCACACAGCACCTGACAGAGGTGTATCCTCCAGGGTTGAGATCTAATGAAAGCAATGATTTTTACTGCTTCATCAAAGACACTCTTAAGTGAAAGTAGCATTTTAAAACTTTTATTTATTTACTTATTTTTACTGCCAGTATGTAAGTGAAGGATACAGTATAGTATAGTTTGGTGTCGCTGCTTTGACTTGCGCTAAGATGCCAGAAGTTTAACCACCCCTTCATTTGCACCATTAGCGCAGGAAAAAGTGAATAATGTCATATATTATGAAAATAGTTTGACCTCGCGGACACCCTGAAAGGGCGTTGGCATCACTCAGAGGTATACATCTTGGGGTAAAAATTGCTGACACCAGCCCCATGGTGCAGTCTTATGGGTGTCAGAGGGGAAGTCTGCTGTAATCCCAGAAAGAAAAGACGTGATGGAAGTCAGGATCTGAACTTACGTCGAGGTCCTCCCCGGCACCCAGCATCATGTGGTAACTGTAAAGCGCTCACAATCTTCCTGGGGAGGGAGCCAGCCCTGCAAAAGCACAGAGTTGGGTGTTGAGTTCCCACGTCCTATAGTAGCTATCTGAAGACTCTTTGGCATTTTAAACTCCCGTCTCCTTCCTGACACTGAAATTTAATATCATGCAGTTGACAGCAGATGATGCTGTCAGGCTCTTGGGTCGTGACTCCATCTGTTGGCAGTGTGGCTCTGGGGCTTCTCCCAGCCGAACACCTCTGCCTCAGAGCAGAAGTGATGGAGGAGCACATTTGTCTAGAAGATGATGCGTGAATCTTTTAGACGCCCCGGTTTCAGCTAACTTGTGTTTCCTGTTGGAAAACAATATTCAGCCATCAAGCTAAAAACGAAATACTTTGAGTAAAATTTAGCATTCCTGTTTTGACATTTGCAAATTGGTGGGTCTCATAGAACCTTCCCTTTCTCCTTTGTTTTCAGCAATGGAAGAGTTAATCGTTGAACTTCGTCTCTTTCTTGAACTCCTGGACCATGAATATCTAACCTCAACTGTCAGGGAGAAAAAGGCAGTTATCACAGACATCCTGCTGAGGATACAGTCATCCAAAGGTACGTCTCATTCAAACCTCAAGTCTTTCTTCTTCCAGTCTCTTTTTGCCTCGAAGCCATCTTTAATTCTCATCTTTCCAAAACACATTCATGAATGAATGAATGTATTCATTCATCAAGTTGTCATCGAAGGCCTTACTACGTGCCAGGTACTGTGTTAGTCTCTGCGTTTAGAAAGATAAAGACCTTAAGGGGTTAGGCTTAAAGTAGGTGTGTTGGGCGGGTCCCTAAGAGCGCCCCAACACTGGGGGATTTGCTAGCAGGACTCAGCATGGAGTTGTACTTTCTCGTGCCTGGGATTCATCACACGGATAGTAAGGATTCAAGAAAAGATTATAAGGGGAAGAGACTCAGGCCAAGCCTGGAGGGGCCCATGTGCAGGCTACTCATGTTCCTTCTCCCACGAGGGTCACACAGATCACAGTCTTCCCTCAGCAACAGAAATGCAGCAGCCTGTGTGCAAGGTTTCTGTTCAGGGAAGCTCACTGGAGACTCAGTGGCCGAGGACTTTACTGGGGGCGGGTCACATAGGCACCCTCCGCCTGGCACGTACCAAAATCCCAGACACCCAGGAAAGCAGGTGTATTAGTCAGGGTTCCCCAGAGAAAGAGAACCGATAGGATAGAGGGATAGAGATGGAGATAAAGAGGAGGTTTGTTGTAGGGGTCGGCTTCTGTGATTACAGAGACTCAGAAGTCCCACAGTCTGCCCTCTGCAAACTCGAGACTGAGGAAAGCCAGTTCTGTAGTTCAGTTCGAGTCCAAAGGCCTGAGCGTCAGGGAGACTGATGGTTCAAGTGCTGGCCAGAGAACTAAGAACGCCAGCGTCCGAGGGCAGGAGAAGATGGTCCACTTGGCTCAAGCAGAGAGAGTGCACCCACCCTTCCTCGGCCTGTGTGTTCTGTTCAGGTCCTCAACAGGTTGGATGATGTCCACCCACACTGGGGAGGACCATCCCTTTTGAGTTCCACAACGCAAATGCTAATCTCTTCCAGAAACATTCTCACAGATACACCCAGAAATAACGTTCTTCCAGCTCTCTGAGCATCCCTGAGCCTGGTCAGGTTGGCACACAGAATTCGCCATCACAGCAGGTGTTTGGCGTGAGGTCATGTTGTTTGCCCAAACAGTCTAGGCAGAGTAGACCAACCTTATGGATTAGGGAATGGTGGGAACACTTCTGAAAGCCACATTCCCAGATGCCAGCCCTGGTAAAGACAGCAGCCTCAGGCCTGCTGTGTTAACTCTTTTGTGCACAGTGGGTAAGACAGAATAGCAGGGAGAGGGCATCAGTGTTAAGAGAACACCCAAGAGGAGTGTCCAAACCAGTTTAGTGAGAGGAAGAGTGGGGAGGGGGGCGGCTGGGGGCAGTTCTTGGAGGGTATGGTGTTAGAATCCTGACGACTGGGTAGGAGATACCTGGATGAGACGTAGAGGTTTATTGTAAGCAGCTTCACTGAGATATAATTCACATACCATGCACTTCACCCATTTGAATGTACAATTTGTTGATTTTTAGCGTACGAAGCCATGATTTGACACAGTTAGATTTGCGTTCCAGAAAGCTCACCTTGTCAGTCTGGGCAGTGGGTTCAAAGATCTGGCTGCAGATTGAATGAGAGCTATGTGAGGTCCGGGTGGATGGTGGGACCAATCCCTGAGGTAGGAGTGCAGGATGAGGACCATGTCTGAGGGGCAGTGGGATAGATAGAGACAGTGACAGAGAGAGAGATGAAGATAAAGACGGAGATGAAAGTTCGCTTTGAAATGATGTTGCCGCTTCCCTGCCTGGGCCCTTTCAGTATCTTCCGTTGCCCGTGGCTGAACCCCAGGCCCCTATGACGTGTGGTCACGCCTGTCTACTGTACAGTCAAAGGGGCTTTGCTTTCTGTCTCTGCCTGTTACCCAGTCTGTGACCTCGAGCAGGTTACTTAATCCCTTCAGCCTCCTCACCTGTAAGAAGGGCGGACAGTAGCGCCCACCTCGGAGGGATGCTGTACGGATCGACGAGATCATATAAAACATTTCCAAGCAGGGCCTGACGCACGGCAGACGCTCAGCAGCTATTGGCTGCTATTTCCTCCTGTTGAGTTTACTGGTAGAAGGAGCATTTCTTGCGACCTCATCTCCTCTGCGCACACCTGTTTCCCAGCCAGGAGTTTGGGAACACTGCAGTTTGGGCCTCCTGCCTCCGGCGTTGCCATTTGCTTTCTCGTGATTTCCCTTCCGCTCTTGCTCTGCCCAATGAGTTTCAACCCCTTTTCTCTCCAGGCTTTGTTCTGGATGTTATTGTCCAATTCACTGATTTGTCTCTTCAGCTCTTTAATTTGCTTGAAACTCAGCCACTGATGGTTTGATGGTAGAGTTTCCATTCGTTCTTTTTCTTTCTTTCTTCTCTTTTTTTTATTGTTTCCAGGCCTCTGCCAAAATTCCAGTCTTGCTGTCGCTTCCGCAGGTCAGGGTCTTTGTCTTTTCCCAGCCTGCAGCGTCGTGCTTGACCCATCATAGGTGGTCATTGTTGAGCAGTTATTTTTCTAGATCTAGAAAGGTGAGTCCTTGGCATGTAAATAACACTGTGCCCAGATTAAAGTAGTTTCCTCCTCTTTCCCGCCTTCACTGGCACAGTGCTCACCACGGTTTCTGAGAGTCTGTTGTGAATATGATGCCCTGAGGGTATGAGCTTATTATCAGCCTTGTCAACAATAAGCGTGTCTGTTACAGCATCGGGCCTTAGGAGGGTCCTTGATGCAGATTTACTGATTCCCAGGAAAGCGTCTGCCCCCTTAGCACGTGGGTAACATCTATACTAACCTGAGTGGACGTTCAAGAGGCCGCTCGCCTTTGAGAGGCTGCCTGGCATCGGAAAGGATGTCGACGTTGGTGCCTGCTCCATCATTTCTGCCTGTCCGTGTTCCAATTAAGTACTTCAGCCTTTCGTTCCAGCACAGATCCTTCCCCTGTAGAATGGAGAAGAAGAATACTCACCTCGCAGGATTGTTGTAAAGGATTAGAGAAAATAAAGACGTATTTGCGATGTATTCAGTGTGGGGCCAAGGAGGGGATAGCTGCCAGCAGTTGCCACCTTTCTCTTCCTTCTTCTCCTCATCCAGTTCTGTGGTTTTGGTTGGTACAGGTTTTGAAGTGAAAGATCATGCTGCGAAGCCAGAGACCCCCAACAGCCTGCCGGCCCCTCCCCAGATGCCTCTGCCAGAGATCCCGCAGCCGTGGCTGGTGAGTTCAAGTCCCACCATCACAAGAATCACCAGATGTCTGTGTTACTTTTGGTTCCAGGGGCAGGTGATAAAAGCCCAATTCTGGAAGAAAGGAGGCCACGTGTTGCCCAAGGCACTCCTTTGAGTGTGTGTTTTGGATGCTAGTAATGGCTAAGTGGGAGGCTGCAAATGTACCTTCTCTTGGGAGGCTGATGGCTCTCTGAAAATCGCTGGAGCTACAGGTCCACGGAAATCTGGTGTTAACTTGGATTTTAAAAAACTCAGATGATTTAGCAGGCAAACCAGTGACAGTAGAGCCTAGGGACTTGCCCCTCCTTCTGGGTTAACTCTGAATTTGAATACCTTAGCCTGAAACTTTAACGCTCATGCTTCTGCTGGGATTAAATATTCTTTTCTTCCCCCCAAGAAGAAAAATATGTACATGGTCCAGGAATGTGTGCTTTATTTGATTTTCTGCATTCACAATTGGTTTTGGAGTTCTTTTACTGTTTTTGCAATCTGGGGATACTCACCTATGCCATTCTTCATGGACCATTCGGCTTTTTCTGCCTTTTGCTATTTTCTAATTTGCTTACTCAGGGAAATTAGGCTTTTATTTAAAATCAGAGCAAAATCAGTTACTTAGCAACTCTCTTCTTAACATTTGCTTTCTCTATGAATCATCTGATTTTCTCTCTACCAGGAAAGGAACTGCAGGAAAGCAGGGCCCCATCTCATTTGTTTCTGTTCTGCCTGGGCCCCAGCACATGGCTGATGTCCAGCGAGGACTCAGTAATTATCATTGTAAAGGAGATAGAAGGAAATCAGTGCTTACTGGGTCCCTACCACCTGTCGCAGATCATGTTTGCTCTTTTTTTCACTTATAATTTCATTTAATCCTTACAACCTGACCTCAGGGAACCCCTAAAATACCCCTAAACATGTGAATAGTGTGTATTTCCATTTTCCAGAAAAGGAAATGTGGGTCCAGTGAAGATGTGATTGCTAAGGGCAGTAGGAAAGGCAAAAATACAGTTTTTTGCAACGTATTCTTTTGATTTCAAATCCAGCCTTTTCTCAGCAATACTATTTGGGGAGGTATGGCAGCAACGCCGATGCCAGCGTCACTCACCGACGGGAGAAGGTTTTCTTAGGAACCTAAGAAACCTGTTCCCGAGCTGGGCTCTGGGGAGGCCGCGGGGTCCAGGGTGTGGATGGGAGCACGGTTCCTGCGTCCAGGCACCAGCTCTGACACTTCCTGTGTGAGTTCAGACCGCGGCTTTCACGTCTCTGTGCCTGAGATGCCGCATTCTGAAACGAGTGTGATAATAGTGCCCACTTAGTGCGATTCTTGTGGCGATGAAAAGAGTTGATGGACCTCCAGTGCTTGGAATAGATGCCTCGCGTCTGTTAAGCCCCGTGCGAGAGCCGGCTCTCACTTTGTGGGGCTGTGCTTCTCAGACTTCCGGGGAGTGTGTTAAAAATGGACATTCTTGATATGCTGGTAACGTGAATTATATTTTGGGTATATTGAGTTAAAGAAGATGTATTGATAAGACCCATTTCATCCGTTTCCATGGCTACTAGAAAAATTTAAATTACATGTGTAGCTCACATACGTAGCTTGCTTTATTTTTCTTTTGTTTTATACATTTAATCTTTCCACTGTGGAAAGCATATTGAATATATGATTTTTATATGCTGTTTTTATTTTTTTAACATTATGTATTTTTCCTTTATAAACTTATTTTTAATAATTGTTTTCCTTTTTTAAGGAATTCTTCCTGTTTCTTGTAGAAACTGTGACTCAATTATAGCTCTTTTTCATTGTCTCATTTGATGTTTTTAGATATAATACAGAATCATAGTATTAATCCTGTTTACTGATATGTTGTTTGTCTACAAGATAAAGAACGAGATGTGAGAAACCGGTGGTTCGTGAAGCTCCTGGTCTTTGTGCTCTGGTTTACTTGTATTTTTCTTTCTAACCTGACTTCATGATCCGTCTCAATACGCTGCGTACTTCATGAGCACAGTGCAGGTTGGGAAAGGTGTTTCAAGACCGAAAGTGAAACGCAGACCTCTCGAAGCAGCCGGAACAGTAGTGGTGGTTATAGGAATGGCATGGACTGTTCTTTAGTGGCACCCAGCCGGCCTGGACTAAAATGCTTGTCTTTGATGCGCCAGGCCAGGGGGGGTGAATCTCAGTTTCAGTGCCAGTTTCGAACAGAGTACTCATTGGATGGTCAACATTTTGCACCATTTTTGACGGTTGAACAGTCAATCCCTTTCCATGGATTTTTCCTCGAATGCAGTTTGTTGTTCATCCACTAGTTTCTCTCCCTCTTCTCTCCTTGTCTCCTGCCCATCTTTGGCTGCAGCGTGGCAAACTGCTGTGGTTTTAAGGTGGACGAGAAGCCGTCCTACCCATGGAGTTGGAACTGGTAGCTGGTTAATTAAAAATGTTGGTTCAAGTGAGGAATTCTAAAAGGGTATCATGTGCTTTAAACATTTCCGATTTAAACCAATCATTTTTGAGTAGGAGTTTGACCAGTGGGTAGTTCCTCCCTACTGATGCCCGACATGGGTGTCGAGAGAGTTTTCCAAACTCAGCCTCTAAGCCAATGCTGTTTCTTGATATAAAACTCCTAAGACCTTGATGTAGGGCCAAGAGCTGCGTCCTCTGAGTGTGGGGCTACGTACGGGTTGTCTTTTCTGCATAATCCATACCTGTGATACAGGACTAACAATTCCCAGTTTTTGTTTCCTTAAAGTGGAGTTAAATTCAGACACTTGCGAAACGATCTGGTCTTTAGGTCCCTAGAATTTTACCAGGGCCGCCTTTCACAGCTGACGTGACCACTCCTAACTGAATAGCTGGGTCTTTTCTTTTTTGCAGTTTGTCTTGACTGAACCTTCCTAAGGCATCTCAGAGAATCGTCAGCTCTCCTTTTGCACTTGTTTTTTCACTGATTTATTTATGTAGTAGCTAACCAAATAGAGTAAACTAAATAGTCATAAGCGTAAGGGTGTAAAGAACAAAGCTGACTGTTGGTGGTGGTGCAGACTCAGCCGATGGCACTGTTTCGTAGGCACTCGGACAGGAGCCCGTTGGCCACGAAGGGTTAGCATTTTGTGGATACCAGTCAGGGCGTTTTACGGACAGAATGAAGAACGTCTGTCAGCTCAGTGAGTCAGTGAAGTGGAGAGGGGTTAAGACAGCTAGCTCTGCTGTATTTTCCTAGTAGTTTATCAGGGAATTCGTCATTCAGCAAGTAAGCCTGTCTTTCAGTAAACTGCCTTTTATGAGGTGGCTTTTGTCCAGTTGGTCACTTGCTGCTGGCACGGCTGGTAGTGGACAAGAAGTGGGATTGGGTAGGAGGCTACGCCAGGCAGAGGGCGTACCGCCAATTAAGGCACAGACCCGAGAAAGACCCCGACGGACTAGAGCATTACAGGCCCCTCTGCGCGGCTGAATAATAGGATTTGGATGAGTCGTCCGCGGATGAGGCCGGAACACGCCGCAGGGGTTAAACATCGAGGGGCCCGTGGGCCTGCAGAGCAGTTTGGGATGGTCCTCAAGGCAGCTGTGAATGACCGAAGGATTTGTTTTTAGTGTAAGACTTAGGATGCTCCAACCGGGTATTATTTCTTACTCATTTGAACCACGATTGCATTTTTTACTCTTTCATGGCATGTATTGAAGGAATACTGCCTTTTATCACAGCTCTGTGTGTTACAATCTCCGAGAAATGAGTCCGCTTCTATCTTTTTATCCCTTTTAGTGCCGAACAGTGCTCTATGCAGTTATTGTTAACTATCTCTTGACATCCTTTTTTTTTTCTGGACCCTCGAGAGGCTGGGCAGGAGGGTGGGCCGCTTTCCCGAGTACGCTCAGCACCCTTCACCCCCCATTTCGGGCCTGGCGCACCCCTGGCTGAGGGCCCTCACCCGGCTCTCTGCGGCGCTCTCAGGCATCAGCGCTCCCCTCTTGCTGGCTGACACCCAGGTGGGCCCCCCACACAGGTGTGGCAGAGACTGGACAGGTCTCTGTGCCCCGGTTGGCTGGTGAATTACACTCAGGTGGTAGCAGTAAAAGAAAAAAAAGGGGTCCAGTGGAGCTCTAAAATGTGTCCATTTTGCATAACTGAAACTTTATACCCGTTGATCAGCAATGCCTCATTTTGACATTCTCTTAATTAAACTTTAACCTTTTGAGGATGATGCTCGTTTCTCTCCTCCTTTGTGTTCCTCATATGACAAAGCAGAAGATGCCGACGGCCGCTCAAGGTCAGGAGCCACATCAAAAAGTCCGTCTTGTAACGTTGATGACGCTTCTGTACAGGAAGGGAAGAGTGCGTGTTTCTGTTTTGCTCTTGGAGTCAATGCGGCTGCAGCCCAGGGTCCTGGGCGAACCGGCGACCCCTTCAGTGTGGCCGGTGGAGCTTGGGCCGGGCGGCGCGAGTGTGGGTGTGCGCTCCGTGGAATTCAGAACTTCCCTTGACCTTTGAGAGCTAGGTACAGTGTGCAGCGTGTTTACAGACCCATCCGCCTCCCTTGCTTTCCAGGGGAGATTGGAGCGGGCCAAAATATGCATATGCATAATGAAAACATTTCCGGGAAGGGCCGTGCTTCTCGACAGATTTTGGGTTTTGTTTCCCACCGAGAGCCGTGCAGCTATCTAAGGGACGGTACTGAGTTAGCACGCAGCCCGCGCTGAGGGAGCATTTGCGAAGGCGGCCGGTTCATCCGGAAATGGGTCCCATCTGTGTTGACATCGGCCGCCAGGCCCCACCGCCCAGCCCACCAGCCGGCTCTGATCCAGACAGTCGGGAATTGTGCTTCCTGCCCTCCCCTCCTCCGCTTAGGGGAACAGTGGGTGTACGGGACGGGGAGACTTCAGACCTTCCTGGCTGAGAGAAGAGAGCAGGGAGACCCCTTTGGGGGCTGTATATGCTCTGTATGATATCCCATCAAGGCATTTTCTAGAAATATCTTTATTTGATCATTTAAACGGCA